TGTTGGGGGAAGATATGCTACAGATACCAGACATCAAATTTGGTTGAGAGATGCAGGATGTTGAAGATCCAGAACTTCGAGAAGCTCTGGCACTTTCCATGTCACTGCACGTAGGTGAGGGCCGCAGTGTGAACCCTGATTGGTGGAAGTGATCTCTGAGTTTGAGCTGTTGTGTTCTCTTGTGACTCTTGTGCTAGTCCACTCTTGTTTTTTTCCGTTTGTTTCGGAGAATTAGTTTTCTGGCTGAATTCCGAGTAAACCCCAGCGGTTGATTGAGAAGATCATAGTCAGGTGCAAGATGGCTTTGCACAGATAGTTTTATGGGGAGGTGTTCAACTTTACGTGACAGACTTTGTGTCCGGTCCAACATGCAACCAGGCTCCTAGAAGGGCTCCACTCTGAGGCCCGTTTTCGGTGCCTATCTTAGCTGTGCCAGGAGGCGCACAACTTGTCACATTCAATCGGCCAATTCGGGCCATTGCCAGATCTCAAAGGGATCTTGGAAAAGATCAGCACCTGCACCCTGCAAGACAATTTAGAGAACCGGATGAAAGAATTATGTTTTTTTTCGACCTTTCTGGGAGTGCAGCAAAGTTTGCAGATGTTTGCAATAGATTTAGAAATATTCAGTAGCAATTTGGATGTCTCCGGGCTGTGAGCCAAGTTCAGTACTGGGTTTTTTCCCGCAGTCTTCCGACACACTGGCGTTTTTTTTGGCGTAGTTGACCCTCACTGGGTCAACGTTCAACGACCTTTTGGGGTCGCCACGCGATTATGGCCAGGTGGCATGAGGTTTTTGAGATTGTGAAAAGTCATACGTCATACGCCCTGAGGTGTACATGTCACTCCAAGTGTGCCACCTCGCCAAAGCTGTAGTTAGGTCTCTCCCAGGCCAAGGGGCTGGGAAGAATCAGATTCACAGCGATTCTGCAGACATTTTGCCTGAAAAGGCGCCTGAACCCATGAGTCAAAATTCAAGACAATACTTTCAGTCCAAATGGTGGATGAACATTCAAGTGAGAAGCATGCCAGACATTGCCTAACCATTTCGCAGTGCTCATTGGGCTTCGAAAATCAACCCCTGCCATTTCTGAACTTCATCTACCGGTTCCGCTTGTTCCTTATACCCAAACGAACCTCGTGATCTGGCCATTTTGCACAAAGCTATAGGTGCATCCGCAGCATTGGCTGTCTGTGTGACGGGTCGGTGTCGAGTCGCAGTTCTGTTGTTTCTCAGAGTGCCTTGGCAAACTCCAAGCTGCTGAGCTTTGGGATCGGTTTTCTTAAGCTTTGAAAATGGGACGGTGTAATTTGACCTCTGAAGATAAAATTGTGAACCTACAAAATGATACAACATGAACTTAACTTATAGGCAAAATATGACAAAATCATGCACAATAGGCACATTACCTGGCGCTTTGGTGCAGAGTTGCAGCCTGTTTGCCGAGAACAGGACGTTGAGCTGAGCTCGATCGTCCTTGTATTGAACTTTCAAGTCATGACGTCTGGAATCTGTGAGTACCCTAAAGACCTCTAAAGACAGTGTTCTTGTTCTTGTTGGATCATTGCTGTTCTGGGCCAAATTTAGGTGTGAAAATCATGCGTTTTGGCGTCCTGTCCATCAAAAAACACTCCTCAACTCATGCCCATGTCAGGTCCATTTTCATCCATGTGGGAGAAGGAGCTTAAAATGTCACCTTTAAACGAAGGCTACCCCTTGCTGCAATGCTTCCATTTTGGTAAACCTGATCATGATGTTTGTGAATCTGAAGCTGAAGGATGATGAAAAAGAGTGCAACCAAGCCACAGATTGGGCCCAGTTCTTTTCCAAATCTGAAGTAAACCGTAAATCCTCCATTTTCCCACCAAAAGCACATGGCAATCATGGAAGTGGCGGATACGCCGCTGGTCCCGCCTGAGGATGTCCGAAAAAGAGCTCACCAAGGGCGCCAAGAGGATCCTGGAGGATACCGAAGAGTCCGGGACCCGGAGATGGGGTGATATCATAATATTTCACCATGCAGAATGGGTTTCAACACTTCTTGTAGTCGATAGTTGGGACTTAAGTCGAGCTTATAGCATGTCTTTTCCTCATGGATTGTTTCAATTGGTTGGGTTGAAAGCGGCCACAAACTCAACAAGTTTTAGCAGCAGACACGGGGGTTGGACCAGCCAAGATTCTAAGATGGGGATACTTCGTGATGCCAAGAATTGGGAACGACACCTTGAAGAATTTGGCTTTGAGTAACTAAAAGACTGGATGATTATTGCATGATTTGGGAGCTGGGGATGTGGTGTCGCCAGGTGTTTTAGCTGCGGCCACATCACCACTGTGATTGGTACGGCGAACAGCATGGGGCTGATTAGATGCTACCTGCAACAACCATCAACCATCAGCCACTAAGAACCACAATCCTTGTTGGTATTCATGATCTGATTCTGACCAACGAGTTCATCATGTCAGAGATCTGAACAGCTGACGCCAGGAACACTTGTGGCTTCGCATCCTGCTTCATCTTGGATCAAGATGGTCCTGCCGGCCAGTTGAGACCACCATTTCAAGATGTGAAGAGTTGCTCGGATGTTCACCAACCCGTGAACCTGGATCCATCCTTTGCAAGCTTTGTTTGTCCCCAAGATATCCCAGTTGCATCCAGTCGCAACGATTCTGAGATCCGGGGAACCTCAGGGATCACCTTATTGGATGGCCCCTGTACAGGACCAAGCCTTGCCAAGGATGTTGACCATGAAGATATTTTCTAGACCCACCGAGCCATATATGTTCTGGGCATGGAGGAAGAGTTGATATCCCTTCGAACTTTGAACATCAATTTGTCAATGTCTGTATCTGCACGGTATTTGAAGTTACTGTAGCCATGTCTTGACTTGGGTTTATTTTTCAAAGTTCCACCTTGTCAGTGTGTGACGTTTCAGGGGTGCAATAGGGGCAAATGTAGAAAGAAAGCTCTGTGCAGTCCTTTTTCTATGTTTTTCCACACGGAAATCACTTGCCATTGGCAAAGGGTTGAACTGAACCCACGAATGACTTCCCAGCAACCCAATTTACCGCGCAATTGTGACTTGTGATTTGCGTATTTCCCCATGGTGTTTTCCTTTTACATGTTGCCAACAAGAACCATCAGCTTGTTTTTTGCAGCCGTAACCGAGTGTACCTGCGCCTTTAGATTTTGAAGTCTAGACAGCAGTGGTGCGCCTCACTATGGTTCACTGTTCACGTTATTGACATGACCATGCAGCATCCCTGACACAAAATAAAAACCTTCAGATGCGTCAGGTGGAGCATCCAGGCTTCTCTGAGTAGTGCTGCGAAATGCTGCGAAATAATGTTTGCTAAACTGTTTGTCTTTACTTTCGTGGTTTCTGCCTTCGTTGCTCGTGATATAGTCTCTTGCAGATCATGTGAACGGACTCATTGGTCTCACGGATTCATTTCGCACCACAGCAGCTGGTTCTTCCGTTCTTCCCCAACGTTTGTCTTATGAATTTGACAGTCAGTGTCAGTCTGTGCATGTTCTTAGTTTTTTCATGGTTCTTCTAGTTGGTTCAATTCTTTCAAGAATTCGATGCCATGCCAAAGCTGCGACATGGAAGACAGGCCGCATTTGACCGCCAGAGCCTGGGCAAAGCCCAGGCGCAGCACTGGCTGTTTCCCACTTCATCTCTAGTCGCAGCCGGAGCACGGACAAACATTGTTAGCGCAGGCGAGTGCAGGACAATTGGACAACAATTGGCTGATTTTGTTCAGATTCTGGATGAGACTCCTTCAGTGCGATTCCTGATGATTCAAGACACGATTTATTACACTTAGGAAACCAGGCCAGGTGAAGGATTTCCACCTTGGACTAAATTCAAACACATGCTGTTTGATGAGGATGATTGATGGGCACATGACATCATGATCCCAGCTGTTGGCAAGGTGAATGTAAACCATAGTTTCCACGTATATCCACCCTGCGAAGTCAAATTTGATTGGATGAGGATAAGGACCAAAATGGCGGGTGCTTCTCATGAGTTGACTTGCAGAAACTTGGCTCCCAAGGGTCGGTTTGCAAAAACAGTTCAACATGCAGGAGACCAAAACAAACGTATAGCCTCACATTCACAACCGCGTTTGGGGCATCGTCCTTCACTATGTCGCCCTTGTACTTGAAGGATGTTTATTGTGCATGCCCAATGTGCGCCTCAAAAAGTATGAGAAAACATCACAGATCTTCACGAGTTGGTACGATCGGCGCATTGCCAAGCACATTGGGATCGTGCAGCTGATTTGTAGGCCTGGCATACCCCGAACCGATCTGGAAGATTATCCAAAAAGTGGATGCACATGTTTCCACAGCGTGATTTTTTCTATGGTGTTTGATGTTTGCCTCATTTGACAATTCAATAAATGATCCATGGATAGCGGACAACACACGTGCATTCTATTCAAAGTCAGAAGACTTGGGAGGATCTCATCCCATGCTTCCAGCAGCCGTGAAGCATTTCGTGGGACAGGTGGATCTTCGTTGGATCTAGGCAACCTAAAAATACCATAACATACCAGCTGTTTTTCTGCAGCTTGCAAACTGCTACACTTTCATTACAGTTTTCAATGTTCTTTCTGGGGGTGACCAGCCCAGACCCGACGACCCTCACCCGTTCTTCGCGTGGGGAACTTCAGGTGCGAGCCGGAGATGGAGCCAACTGAGGCTATTTCAACGGGGCAGTGGCTGCTGAGCATCAAGGGATTCTCTAGGGATTCTCTAGGGATTCTCTAGGCTCTGTAAAGAGAGGTGCTGAACAAATCAGGTCCCTTTCAACTGAAGCTTTTCACTTGCCTATGTCTATGTCATTCACCCGATGTTCTTCTTTGCACAGGGTTCTTTGGATAAAAGAGAGATCGGTGCTGTACACATGTCAATGCACTCCTATAGTTTTGCTTTGAGTTGCTTGATTTTGCTGGTCTCCTGTTGCCAGATTTTGTAGTTCTGACATTTGGAGAGGCAAAGGCCTTGAACGACCGCGGCTGGACACACCTTTGCCAGGGACGACGCCACGAAGCTTTGGAAGATTTTTCTCGAGCCATCGAGCTGGATGAGGAGTTGGCTGAGGCCTACAACAACCGCAGCATCGCTCGAAGACTCGAAGGTGTTGAAGGTGCTGCAGAGGATGAAGACTTGGCAGATGCCTTGACAATGCACGATTTGGAAGCTCAGATGCGGCTGCGACAGCAGCGGAAGTGGATGTGCGTCGGCTACAACGCACGAGGAGAACCAGAAGGCGAGAAACTTGCGACTGATGCCGATTTCCTGATCTCCTTTGCAAGTCCAGACAGAGATGAAAACAATCGGATCCTGCACGAACTGAAGACGGGAGTCAACTATGATGGGGGTCTTCGCTTCTTGCCGTCATGTCGTTAGAACCCGTCCGGAGGATTCACAGTCATGCGCTTGTTTTGCCTCATGTTCCAGTTTACAGTAAACATAGTATACCTTCTCGCCTCTTGCATTGCACGAATTGTTGTTTGAACAACTCATAACAACTCAGGACCGGTGACCTTCTGCACCGACAAGTCACTGGGGATGGGGCTCCACATCAACGAAGCGCAAGAGATGAGACGCTGGAACCCGATTTTTTCGGACCTGGATCAGCCCCGGCAGCCGGGAGAATATCCTCCCTGGTTCAAGCACTACAAAGAGGCCGCCAATGAAACCAGGCACGGACTCCTCATTTTGCAGCTGACCGATTCATATTTGAAGCATCTCAGCTCAGTTGGGCACCTGTTATTGCTCTTCTTGTGGAGGTAGGAAAGATTCAGGTTTTGACAGGGTTCAGGTGTTTATAGCTGATGTTGTTTGTCGGCATGTTGAGGTCGAAAGCCTGCCGGTGGGAGTTTGGATATGTGCGAAAACCCGAGCTTGTGCACGTCTATGTGCCCAGTGGCGACAAGTCGCCAGGCAGAATCGTGAAATGGGAGGAGCTCATGGAAGATGTCGAGCTTTGCAAGCAACTCTTCGGAGGCGCTTTGGGCCGCACGATCCAGGCGAACTTGGATGCAGAAGATCCCACAATGCAAGGCACATTGACGCAACTTGAGAAGATGGCCGAGACTGCAGAGGAACAGGAACACCAGGTGTGGTGCGAGCTTCCTTTTCGACAATTGGCTTACAACTTCGCCGCGAACACTTTCGGGGAGGAAAGTGTAGACACCATGCGCAGCGCAGGCAAGCTGATTGTTGTCTTCAATCAAACTGGATTTGCAGCCAAAGCCCAACAAATTGGAAAGGATTTGTTGGAGAAAATGGAGAAGAAATTTGGCAAAGACCACTTCATCGTAGCCACAACTTTGACAAATCTGGGCATTGCGCATGGAGACCTGGGCGACGCCAGGCAGAAGAAGGACCTGCTCGAGCGTGCCCTGAGAATCAGGGAGCAGCACTACGGGAAAGAACATCCCTATGTAGCCATTACTTTGACAAATCTGGGCATTGCGCATGGAAGCTTAGGTGACTACAGGCAGAAGAAGGACCTGCTCGAGCGTGCCCTGCGAATCACGGAGCAGCACTACGGGAAAGAACATCCCGAAGTAGCAGCGTCTTTGGCAAGTTTGGGCAATGCGCATGGAAGCCTGGGCAACTACAGCCAGCAGAAGGACCTGCTCGAGCGTGCCCTGCGAATCACGGAGCAGCACTACGGGAAAGAACATCCCTATGTAGGAGTGACTTTGACAAATCTGGGCAATACGCATGAAAGCTTAGGCGACTACAGACAGCAGAAGGACCTGCTCGAGCGTGCCCTGAGAATCAAGGAGCAGCACTACGGGAAAGAACATCCCGAAGTAGCCATTACTTTGACAAATCTGGGCAATGCGCATGGATACCTGGGCAACTACAGACAGCAGAAGGACCTGCTCGAGCGTGCCCTGAGAATGTTCGAGCAGCACTACGGGAAAGAACATCTCGAAGTAGCCAAGACTTTGGCAAATCTGAGCAATGCGCATGAACGCTTAGGCGACTACAGACAGCAGAAGGACCTGCTCGAGCGTGCCCTGAGAATGTTCGAGCAGCACTACGGGAAGGATCATCCAGAAGTAGCCAAGATTTTGAACAATCTGGGCAATGCGCATGGATTGGGCGACTACAGACAGAAGAAGGACCTGCTCGAGCGTGCCCTGAGAATCAAGGAGCAGCACTACGGGAAAGAACATCCCCAAGTAGCCATTACTTTGGCAAATCTGGGCAATGCGCATGGATACCTGGGCAACTACAGCCAGCAGAAGGACCTGCTCGAGCGTGCCCTGACAATCCTGGAGCAGCACTACGGGAAGGATCATCCACATGTAGCGATTACCGTGTTCAATCTCAGCGCAGCTCATGAATGTCTGGGAGATGTTCGCCGAGCAAAGGAGCTGGTGGAGCGTGCTTTCAAGATCTGGGTGGAGCATGGCCACCCCTATGCAGACACAGCTCAGCGTCGCCTGGCAGAGATGGAGGTCAAGATGATGCAGATATCCAGCGCAGCTGTGAGGCCCTCAGTGCTGGCTTCGGACGGCCATGCTGTCTGGCTGTGGAATGTGAAGACTTAGAATCATGATGCAAAGGTTGTAGAAGATCCAGACGGGCTGGAAGCCGTCCGAAGATCCCTCCAGGAGCCACAACCGGGGAAACTGTAATTGGGCAGATCTCAAACAGGTCTACAGAGGCAGCCTTCAAGTGTGAGCAACCTGAAACGGTATAATTCTAATACATTGATGTTCTTCTGCTGAATCTTGCCAATACAGATTGTCTATCTCTGTCTATCTCGCTCTCTCTCTCTCTCTCTCTCTCTCGCTCTCTCTCTCTCTCTCTTTCTTTGGTTTTGACATGGATACTCTTGCGTAGAGAATGGGCATATCTGTTTTTTGATTCCGTAAGCTTTTGTCCATTAAAGGAGCCACTTCAGAACGCGTCCAGAGGTCAGAGATGTTTCCGGAACTATATGTCCTCCCTTCCACTCTCTTTTCTTCTCTCCTCTGCTCTCCTCTGATCTCCTTCCAGTCTTGCAACAATTTCAGTAAATGTGCAAAGGAACAAATCCAAATCCTTTGATGAATCCACTACCTGCCTGGGTCGTGCCCGCCCCATCACTGCTCAATGACCCACCAGCATGAAAGCACTCTGCAACTTCAAAATGCATAGCTTGGCGCTTCATTTGGCATGTTTTAGTAAGACAGAAGTTTTTTGTGGGCAGCTCTGGAGACGACTGTGCAGAGTCAAACATGCAAACTGGCCAGGACGACGAAGATTTGCAGAAAGCCTTGGCTTTTTGGTTGATCGCTCTACGTCTGGGTGGAAGATTTCAATCGATTTGCACAAAGCCTTGGCTCTTTCATTGGAACCCATGGAGGACTGACGTAATGGTGCGAGAAAGGTTTCCATAAAATTCCATCATGGGTTCATGGGTTTAGTATGGTTTAGTATTTTCCCTTCCCGTTTTTGTTCTCTCCTTCCCTCCGATACAAGAGCTCTAGTATATAAAAAATATACATAAAAACACTTTGACATGATGAATCTCGGCAGTTCTGGCTGTGGAAATCACCAGTTTGGATGCACCTTTGTTTTCCCTCCTTTGGCAACTGGGGCGACCGGTTAACCACGCCTTTGAACTGAACGCCCACTCAGTATCTCTAAGCAAACCCCGTGCATCCATCAGCCTAGCCACTGCGGAACCATGTCAGAGTCTTGATCTGGATCACATCATCCTGATCGAATTGCGCAGGGTTTTGTTGGGGGAAGGTATGAAATATACGAGACTTCAAATTTGGTTGAGAGATGCAGGATGTTGAAGATCCAGAACTTCGAGAAGCTCTGGCACTTTTTTTCATGTCGCTGCACGCAGGTGAGGGCCGCAGTGTGAACCATGATTGAGTTTGAAGATCGAAGTGCAACCGACTTCGCTTGACGGTGGTGGAAGTGATCTCTGAGTTTGAGCTGTTGTGTTCTGTTGTGACTCTTGTGCTAGTCCACTCTCTTGTCTTGCTGATACTTATGATACCGATTGTCTCTCTCTCTCTCTCTCTCTCTTTGGTTTTTGAGACAGATGCTTTGGCGCAGGTAATGGACACATGTATACACGTGTGTTTCGTTTAATTCCATAAACTTTTGAAACGCACGCAGCGTTTCGCCTACAACATCTTACAGTATAACCTTAATGTCCATTCAAGGAGCCACTTCAGAACACTTCCAGAGGTCAGAGATGTTTCCAGACCTGTATTTCCTCCCTTCTCCTCTCTTTTCTTCTCCTCTCCTCCGCTCTCCTCTCTCCTCTGATCTCCTTTCAGTCTTGCAACAAGTCAATTTCAGTAAATGTGCAAAGGATCAAATCCAAATCCTTTGATGAATGCTACCTGCCTGGGTCGTGCCCGCCCCATCACTGCTCAATGACCCACCAGCCGCCATGAAAGCACTCTGCAACTTCAAAATGCATAGTTTGGCGCTTCATTTGGCAGTTTTAGTAAGACAGAAGTTTTCGGTGGGCAGCTCTGGAGACGATCGCTTTGAGTCCAACATGCACAGTGGCCAGGACGACGAAGATTTGCAGAAAGCCTTGGCTTTTTGGTTGGTCGCTCTACGTCTGGGTGGAAGAGTTCAATCGATTTGCACAAAGCCTTGGCTCTTTCATTGGAACCCATGGAGGACTGACGTAATGGTGCGAGAAAGGTTTCCATAAAATTCCATCATGGGTTCATGGGTTTAGTATGGTTTAGTATTTTCCCTTCCCGTTTTTGTTCTCTCCTTCCCTCCGATACAAGAGCTCTAGTATATAAAAAATATACATAAAAACACTTTGACATGATGAATCTCGGCAGTTCTGGCTGTGGAAATCACCAGTTTGGATGCACCTTTGTTTTCCCTCCTTTGGCAACTGGGGCGACCGGTTAACCACGCCTTTGAACTGAACGCCCACTCAGTATCTCTAAGCAAACCCCGTGCATCCATCAGCCTAGCCACTGCGGAACCATGTCAGAGTCTTGATCTGGATCACATCATCCTGATCGAATTGCGCAGGGTTTTGTTGGGGGAAGGTATGAAATATACGAGACTTCAAATTTGGTTGAGAGATGCAGGATGTTGAAGATCCAGAACTTCGAGAAGCTCTGGCACTTTTTTTCATGTCGCTGCACGCAGGTGAGGGCCGCAGTGTGAACCATGATTGAGTTTGAAGATCGAAGTGCAACCGACTTCGCTTGACGGTGGTGGAAGTGATCTCTGAGTTTGAGCTGTTGTGTTCTGTTGTGACTCTTGTGCTAGTCCACTCTCTTGTCTTGCTGATACTTATGATACCGATTGTCTCTCTCTCTCTCTCTTTGGTTTTTGAGACAGATGCTTTGGCGCAGGTAATGGACACATGTATACACGTGTGTTTCGTTTAATTCCATAAACTTTTGAAACGCACGCAGCGTTTCGCCTACAACATCTTACATTATAAACTTAATTTCCATCCAAGGAGCCACTTCAGAACGCTTCCAGAGGTCAGAGATGTTTCCAGACCTGTATTTCCTCCCTTCTCCTCTCTTTTCTTCTCCTCTCCTCCGCTCTCCTCTCTCCTCTGATCTCCTTTCAGTCTTGCAACAAGTCAATTTCAGTAAATGTGCAAAGGATCAAATCCAAATCCTTTGATGAATGCTACCTGCCTGGGTCGTGCCCGCCCCATCACTGCTCAATGACCCACCAGCCGCCATGAAAGCACTCTGCAACTTCAAAATGCATAGTTTGGCGCTTCATTTGGCAGTTTTAGTAAGACAGAAGTTTTCGGTGGGCAGCTCTGGAGACGATCGCTTTGAGTCCAACATGCACAGTGGCCAGGACGACGAAGATTTGCAGAAAGCCTTGGCTTTTTGGTTGATCGCTCTACGTCTGGGTGGAAGAGTTCAATCGATTTGCACAAAGCCTTGGCTCTTTTGTTGGAACCCATGGAGGACTGACGTAATGGTGCGAGAAAGGTTTCCATAAAATTCCATCATGGGTTCATGGGTTTAGTATGGTTTAGTATTTTCCCTTCCCGTTTTTGTTCTCTCCTTCCCTCCGATACAAGAGCTCTAGTATATAAAAAATATACATAAAAACACTTTGACATGATGAATCTCGGCAGTTCTGGCTGTGGAAATCACCAGTTTGGATGCACCTTTGTTTTCCCTCCTTTGGCAACTGGGGCGACCGGTTAACCACGCCTTTGAACTGAACGCCCACTCAGTATCTCTAAGCAAACCCCGTGCATCCATCAGCCTAGCCACTGCGGAACCATTTCAGAGTCTTGATCTGGATCACATCATCCTGATCGAATTGCGCAGGGTTTTGTTGCGGGAAGGTATGAAATATACGAGACTTCAAATTCGGTTGAGAGATGCAGGATGTTGAAGATCCAGACATTCGAGAAGCTCTGGCACTTTTTTTCATGTCGCTGCACGCAGGTGAGGGCCGCAGTGTGAACCCTGATTGAGTTTGAAGATCGAAGTGCAACCGACTTCGCTTGACGGTGGTGGAAGTGATCTCTGAGTTTGAGCTGTTGTGTTCTGTTGTGACTCTTGTGCTAGTCCACTCTTGGTTTTTTCCATTTGTTTCGGAGAATTGGTTTTCTGGCTGATTTTTGAGTAAACACCAACAGTTGATTGAGAAGACCACGGTCAATTGCAGCTGATGGCTTTGCACAGACAATTTTGTGGGGAGGTGTTCAACTTTACGAGACAGACTTTGTGTCCGGTCCAACATGCAGCCAGGCTCCTAAAGAAGGGCACTCTGAGGCCCGTTTTCGGTGCCTGTCTTAGCTGTGGGAGGTGCACAACTTGATTCAATCGGCCAATTTGGGCCATTGCCAGATCTCAAAGGGATCTTGGAAAAGATCAGCACCTGCATCGTGCAAGATAATTTAGAGAACCGGATGAAAGAATGATGGTTTTTTTCGACCTTTCTGGGATTTTCTGGGAGTGCAGCAAAGTTTGCAGATGCTTGCAACAGATTCAGTAGCAATTTGGATGTCTCGGGGCTGTGAGCCAAGTTCAGTACTGGTTTTTCCCGCAGTCTTCCGACACACTGGCGTTTTTTTTGCGTAGTTGACCCTCACTGGGTCAACGTTCAACGACCTTTTGGGGTCGCAGCCACTCGATTATGGCCAGGTGGCATGAGGTTTTGAGATTGTGCCAGAAAAGTCATACGTCACACGCCCTAAGGTGTAAACGTCATTCCCCCCAGTTGTGCCACCTCGCCAAAGCTGTAGTTGTTAGGTCTCTCCCAGGCCAAGGGGCTGGGGAGAATCAGATTCACAGTGACTCTGCAGACATTTTGCCTGAAAAGGCGCCTGAACCCATGCGTCAGAGTTCAAGACTACTTTCAGTCCAAATGGTGGATGAACATCCCAGTGAGAACCATGCCAGACATTGCCTAACAATTTCGCAGTGCTCATTGGCAAATTGGGCTTCGAAAATCAACCTCTGCCATTTCTGAAGTCAATCTACCGGTTCCACTTGTTCCTTAAACCGTCTGAACCCAAACAAACCGCAGCATTGGCTGTCCGTGTGACGGGTCGGTGTCGATTCGCAGTTCCGTTGCTTCTCAGAGTGCCTTGGCAAATTCCAAGCTGTTGAGCTTTGGGATCGGTTTTCTTAAGCTTTGAAA